GAAGGTTGAAACTTCTCGACCTCTGACTTGGATTGTCTAAACTCAATGTGAAATCACAACTCTGAGCATAAATTGAGGAAAGATGTGGCAAATAGGTGGTCACAGTGATGGAGCTACTCTTTCTCGATGGCGCTAGTGTAGCTTCCATTGTGGGATTTTCCGCTGGTTTCAGAATCACTCTTCTCAAAACAAACTTGCACACAAATCCCCTATACTCTAAAGCAACATTTCTTAACCTGTTTTTGCCGAAACACACAAAAGCGAATGCTCATGTGCTTATCACACACCTCATGCGATGCGGACAAGAGAGCAGTGACTTAGGAACACTTTATGATGCTGCTAGCTGCACATCCACACTTCTCCCCTGGAGAAAGCATCCTTGGTGGGATATAGTGAGTCAGTGTAGCTTTACTCTTGATACAGCCTGGAATCAGCTCTAATATAGAGAGTAAATCAGTTGCAAAGTGTAACATGAGATACACTTCATTAGTGATCCCAGCACACGTTAGACTTGTAATTCATTTGAGACACCTTCCCCCACAGCTAATATGAGATAGTATATTAGTGCGTGTGTGCGCATGTGCGCACATGCACTAAGCTTTCACACCGGCCTCGGGCTTCTTCCTGCCCCAGCCTCAGGTCCATGCAATACCTCCCATCAGATACAGCCTGAGAAAGGGTGACTTAAAAACAAGAAGGACCTTTAAGTTCAACAGTGAATCATATTGTCAAAATGAGTCCACCATTTTCTTGGGAGTGCTTGTCTCTCCCTCTGTCACGGTCTCCACCATGTGAGCAATCCCCTCTCTCTCTCACTTTCTTTCACTTTTTCTATTCTGATGGTACCCCTAGGGGTATATGGAAAGGACGCTGTTTGCCCTGAATGTGCTATTTCAGCTCACTTTCCTGGAGTTGGTCTTAGTTTTGCTCTGATCACGTTATGCTCTTCCACAAAGGCACCCCCTCATATAGTGAACAACAACGTGCATTTCCAACAAAGCATGCTAGGGTTGGGGCTGATCTGGCACTGTTCCCCTTATGTGTTCACTGACCTTGCATTTTAGTTTCACTGGTGTTAAACAACCTGACTAAGCAGCTCACTGGGCCTGGTAAGTAACGGGTCAATGTGCTTGGCCTATGCACACTACATTTATCAAAGTATTGTGTACTTTATTTTTTTTAAAGATTTTATTTATTAGAGAGAGTGCATGCAGGGAGAAGAGCAGAGGGAGAGGGACAAGTAGACTCAGCGCTGGGTGTGGAGCCCAACATGGGGCTTGATCCCACGACCCTGAGATCATGACCTGAGCTGAAATCAAGCATTGGACTGTAACCAACTGAGTCACCTAGGCACCCTGAAATAATTGTGTACTTTATTTTTTTTTAAAGATTTTATTTATTTATGTGACAGAGAGAGACACAGCGGGAGAGGGAACACAAGCAGGGGGAGTGGGAGAGGGAGAAGCAGGCTTCCCGCGGAGCAGGGAGCCCGATGTGGGGCTCGATCCCAGGACCCTGGGATCATGACCTGAGCCGAAGGCGGACGCTTAACAACTGAGCCACCCAGGTGCCCCAGAATTGTGTACTTTAAATGTTGAATTTTAGAAGGGATTTGGAGAAACTAGAACATAGAAATTTCAGAAGAAAAACACCAAATATGAGTTACAGGCTAGAATACAGATTCGGAGGTATATTACTGCTGCTTTCTCTTAGATGATGCTTTCTTGCTGTGTCCTCACAAGGTGGAAGGAGCAAGAGTTATGTTCATGAGGGCTCTACCCTCATGAGCTAATCACCTCGGGAAGGCCCCACCTCCAGATATCATCACATTTTCCGCATATGAAATTGGGGGGACACAAACATGTAGTCTTTGGCATGACATGTACCCACCATTATACTGTCATACAGAAGAATTTCCCTGCTCTAAAAATCCCCTGTGCTCCACTCCTTTATCTCTTCTTCCCCCGCAACCCCTGGCAACCACTGAGCATTTTACTGTCTCCACAGTTTGGCATTTTCCAGAATATCATATAGTTAGAATCTGGCACTATGTAGTCTTTTCAGACTGACTTTTTTTTTTTTTTTCCATTTAGTAATATGTATTTAAGATGGTGCTGAGAATCTTCTGGTTATAAAAAAGAAAAATTAATACTTAATTTCATTTTTTACAGAATTATATGAGAAAGATATCACCTGTAATGATTAGCTGACTCCACGGGTGAGACCCAAGAATAAATAACGTTTATTAACATTTTAAGAACACTTTCTTAACTTCTCAAAAGGATTGTGCAGCAGAACGCATTGAATTCAGAAGATAAATATGCCATGTCTTCCCAGAGTACTCATTTCATTTGAATACCTGGAGGAAGTTTTTTTTTATATTAAAAAAAAAAAACACAGATATATTCTGGAGTAGAATACAGAATTTTCATTAGATAAAACAAGAGACGGGGCGCCTGGGTGGCTCAGTCGTTAAGCGTCTGCCTTCGGCTCAGGTCAGGATCCCAGGGTCCTGGGATCAAGCCCCGCATCGGGCTCCCTGCTCGGTGGGAAGCCTGCTTCTCCCTCTCTCACTACCCCTGCTTGTGTTCCCTCTCTCGCTGTGTCTCTCTCTGTCAAATAAATAAATAAAATCTTTAAAAAAAAAAAAACAAGAGACTTAAGAGAAATGCTGAGCGTATGGAGAACTGCTTCTGGCTAAGATCCTATTTAGACTCCCCTAGGGATGCAAGTTCATGTTCCTCTTGCATCAGAAATACTTTAGTGAAAAATTTAAGAAGTGATTCAGAGAAATTCAGTAAAACAAGATACATTTTGGTGGTTAGAGAGTATCTTCGGTCTGGTTCCCAGGGAAGTGGACTCTGAGGCAGAGATTCCTGTGCAGCAAGCTGACTGGAAATTCTCCCAGCAACAAGCCTGTGAGCAAAGGGAGGGCGACTGGGCAGAGGGACGGTAGGGGGCAATGCAGGAGCAGTAGGGGCCTCGGCCGATGTCACGGGGGCTCTGAAATCACACTGGCCCTTTCAGAGATGCCCCTAACTGAGGCATAGGGGCCAGGCCATTGTATGCCCAGTGCACCAGGGAGCTGTTCCCGGGAGGGTGTGTAACTTTAGAGGGAAGTTCCCGGGACTGGAGCTGTGAGCTGTCTGAAAACCTCCCGGCAGCTGTGGGATAGAACACCTTGATCTGGGTGGAGGAACCTGGGCAGCCCAAGACAGACACCACAGAAGGCAGCACAAACCCACCAACTTCCTTGTAAAGAAGGACCTAGAACAAGTGAGTTCTGAGTACCTTTTGCTGTAAAGAATTCTGAAATAATGGAATCCCTACCTCCAAATGAAAAAGAATACACACACACACGCACACACACCATTCTGAACAGGAGAGAAGCATAAGGAATTTGTGCTTGTCTTGGAATATGGAAAATTAATTCCTTCATTTCTTTTTCAGCTCATAAAGATATTAAATTCAGTGCTTAAAATATTTTAGAAAAAAATCAAATTAAGAATGTCTGCCTTTCCTTAAATGTGGGATTATTCTAATGGATGTGTGTGTGTGCGTGTGTGTGTGTAAAGGTATAAAAACTTAAATCCAATTTACTTTCTAAGTTTGAGTTTCTGAGGTGTATGTTGGAGCACTACAACTCTATATGCCGCTCTGACCTGTCAGTCGTTAGGTAAGAACATGGTAGCAGGGTCTCAGAGTCATGCATTTACCCCAGTTCAGTATGCTTGTTTCCATGAAAGGTTCCCTCAAATATATGGCTTTCACCACAGAGTTTGAATCTAAATATATCCTGGATATGTTGCCACTACTGAGTGAGTCGAGAGGAAGAGGATCTTTCAAATTTCATTTTTTTAAATAAATTCACATCATCATCCTAATGCCTAAAACAAATTATTTTTATATAACTATATAATTAATTACATTATAATTATTCTTATATAATCTTACATATAATATATAATCTATATCATATATAATTATATAATCATAATTATATCATATATCTTCTATATAAGATATAATATATAATCTTATATGTAATTTAAATAATTTATGAATAAAAGTTGTTTTAAAATGTGAAGAACCCAAAACTATTGCTGAACTGGTCCCCACTATTATCTGACTATTTTTTTTCCCTTAATATACTGATGAGTCCATCAACAACTCTCAAAGAGACAATATGAGGTGTAAGGACGATTCCAGCAAATTAGTGCAATTATGTATATTCTCATATATTTCTGACCTCTGGAAATTGAAACAAGTCAACAGTCTTTGCTCATGCTTTAGGTTTTGGCTTAGAGCTGATTTAAACCATTGTTGTGGAATAGTTTCATGTGCTAAAAATTTATTAAACTAGTATTGTGTCTTTGGACACTCAAAATTTATGGGCCTCATTTGAAAAATAAGTCGGTTGGATTTGAACTACATTATCTTCAAGATTCCTGCTAGTACAGTATCTTGCCATCCATTATGATTTCACTGGCGCTTTAGATACTGCAGCTTGTGACCTTTGAGCTGTCATCAAGAGCCAAGGGCAACGAGCAGTGTGACAAACCCATGGCAGATGTCTGCCTCTGTGACTCAGCCCTGACCAGGGTCTCAGGAGCCAAATTTCCCAAATGGAGACCACAAAATGTTTATCAACCACCCACTGCGAACGCAGCTTTCCAAAGTGCTTAACTTACTGTGTAAAATATCTTTACTCTCAAGGAAAATCTGATTTAGTGGTCAAATTTAAGACAGATGAACCAAATTTCTCCTTTAATTTGAAATTGTCGTTTTTTTAAGAATGTTGTTTCTGAGGTTAAGATGAGCCATAGTCTCTAATAGCATCTGGATGTTTGTAGAGCTCCGATCATTCCTAACTGTAGATTAATTTACTTAAATTACCATAATGTTTCATATTTACCCGGGAGTAAATGTATCCTATAATGTTTCAACACTGGACAGAGCGATAATTCTCCTAATATGAAAACGACTTGCTTTCTGTTTAGGTCCTGTGGCACCTCAGCCATCACCCTGTGAAGCCTATCAGTTTTCTTGTATCTACACACGCCAGTGTGTCCCTCTCTCGGGGAAATGTAATGGACAGGAAGATTGCATAGACGGCTCTGACGAAATGGATTGTTCTCTCAGCCCCCCTCCTCACCGCTGTGGTAAAATGGAGTTCCAGTGCTCGAGCAACGAGTGTATCCCATCCCTCCTGCTATGTGATGGAGTGCCTGACTGTCACTTTAATGAAGATGAATCCCGCTGCTGTGAGTTATTTTCACAAACTCAGTGTGCCAGGGAAGAAATGCAGTTTCGAAAGTATAAAGAGAGCTTGACAGATGAAGCAAAGTTCTCTAGAATCTTACCATGACTCTATCATCAATAAAATACTTGCTTGTATTATGTTGCTAAACAAAGCATAATGCCTAGCATTTTTTTAAATTAACATATAATGTATTATTTGTTTCAGGGGTACAGGTCTGTGATTCATTCAGTCTTACATAACACCCAGCACTCACCACAACACATACCCTCCTCAATGTCCATCACCCAGTCACCCATCCCCCCACCCCACTCCCAGCAACCGTCAGTTTGTTTTTTTTCCTATTGATTGATTGATTGATTGATTGATGTAGTGTTCCATGATTCATTGTTTGCATATAACACGAGCCCTCTTTAATACCCATCACCAGGCTAACCCATCCCCTGCCCTGAACCCTCAGTTTGTTTCTCAGAGTCCACAGTCTCTCATAGTTCATCTCCCCTTCCGATTTCTTCCCCCTTTCGTTTTTCCCTTCCTACTATCTTCTTTTATTTTTTAAAAATATAATGTATTATTTGTTTCAGAGGTACAGGTCTATGATTCAACAGTCTTACACAATTCACAGTGCTCACCATAGCACATACCCTCCCCAATGTCTAAACAAACCCTCAGTTTGTTTCCTGAGATTAAGAATTCCTCATTTCAGTGAGATCATATGATACATGTCTTTACAGGATTGACTTATTTCGCTTAGCATAATACCCTCTAGTTCCATCCACGTCATTGCAAATGGCAAGATTTCATTTTTTGATGGTTGCATAATATTCCATTGTATATATATACCACATCTTCTTTACCCATTCATCTGTTGATGGACATCTTGGGTCTTTCCATAGTTTGGCTACTGTGGACATTGCTTCTATAAACATAGGGGTGCAAGTGCCCCTTCGGATCACTACATTTGTATCTTTGGGGTAAATACCCAGTAGGGCAATTGCTGGGTTATAGGGTAACTCTATTTTCAACTTTTTGAGGAACCTCCATACTCTCTTCCAGAGTGGCTGTACCAGCTTGCATTCCCACCAACAGTGTAAGAGGGTTCCCCTTTCTCCGCATCCTTGCCAACATCTGTCGTTTCCTGACTTGCTAATTTTAGCTATTCTGACTGGTGTGAGGTGGTATCTCATTGAGGTTTTGATTTGGATTTCCCTGATGCCGATCGATGTTGAGCACTTTTTCATGTGTCTGTTGGCCATTTGGATGTCTTCTTTGGAAAAATGTCTGTTCATGTCTTCTGCCCATTTCTTAACTAGATTATTTGTTATTCGGATGTTGAGTTTGGTAAGTTCTTTATGGATTTTGGATACTAGCCCTTTATCGGATAAGGCATTTGCAAATATTTTCTCACATTCTGTAGGTTGTCTTCTGGTTTTGTTGACTGTTTCCTTTGCTGTGCAAAAGCTTTTTATCCTGATGAAGTCCCAAGAGTTCATTTTTGCTTTTGTTTCCCTTGCCTCTGGGGACGTATCTAGCAAGAAGTTACTGAGGCCGAGGTCACAGTGGTTGCTGCCTATGTTCTTCTCCTAGGATTTTGGTTGCTTCCTGTCTCACATTTAGTTCTTTTATCCATTTTGAGTTTATTTTTGTGTATGGTGTAAGGAAATGGTCCAGTTTCATTCTTCTGCCTGTGGCTGTCAGATTTTCCCAGCACCATTTGTTGAGGAGACTGTCTTTTTTCCATTGGACATTCTTTCCTGCTTTGTTGAAGAGGAGTTGACCATAGAGTTGAGGGTCCATTTCTGGACTCTCTATTCCGTTCCATTGATCTATGTGTCTGTTTTTGTGCCAGTACCATACTGTCTTGATGATGACAACTTTGTAATAGA